CTTGTACAGGCTTGTAATGGCCAGCAATAGACATCATTAACAACAATAAGCAATAAAGCAACAAATCGTTTCCAATCTCGAATAACTAATTTAAATCAGCTTGGTAGACTGAAGACACTCATGGATTTTGTCGAATGAGAGGTATCTCAATTTATCATAAGGCTTTTTCTTAGAGAAGGAAACGATGTAATATACAGCTTAGAAACATGATATTGGACTTAAAATCTCAATTTCTCATAGATTAATAGACTAAAGACACTCATAGGCTTCATTGATGACTCATAGGACTTTTCCTAGGCATTTATTAGCATATATAACGGTGTTATCTTGCAATTCAGAGGACTCTACATCTTTAATCCTCTTCACATACAAATCATGTTCTATCCTTTTGGCCATTTCAACAAGATCATTAAATTGAAACGAGAGACCGCCTATCAAGAATTCCTAGTATAAAGATTCAAAAAGTGTTATCAAAGATGGTCATAAATTCTTGCTTAGTCAAAGGAGAATATACTCAAAACAACCATTGTTTGTCATCCTTCATCGTATCGCTCTATAGGCTTATCATAATCTTTTCTCATGATTCAACGTAATCCCCTTTCAGAGTTATTTTAGTGTTGACATTGTAACTCTTTATCAAAAACATTAATCGAGCTAAAACTACATCAGAGTTGTCTTTTCCCATCATCAACTTTTCTCATGCCTTGAAGGTATTCTCTATTTAGAGTTGGCATTGGCATTGTGCTCTCTTGTCAAAACATTGACAAATATAAATTTCCTTCTCCTAAAATCAATTGCCCAATAGTTGGATCATATCCACATTTCTTTTAGCTATTATCAAATCTTCTTCAGAAATAGAGAACTGGATTTGACTCATTCACCTTAGCTACCTTTCCTATCCAAACTTTTTCATTAATCAAGATGAAAAAACAATAGAAATATTTGCTTATATAAGATAATAGAAAGATGCCACTTGTAGATATGAAATCAATAAAAGTAGAGGATTTCTAATAAGCGGCAACCAGATTTCGCTAGATTGTGCAAGGGCAGATATGCTTTTTGGATGAGTGGATTCCATTAGAGAAAAGCAAAACAAATATCACAATGTGAAGAAAATAAAGGATTGAGCTTCATCTTAAAAGTTTAACTGTCTAACTAGGATATGAAGACATGCTATTTTTGCTATAAAATTTTACAAACAAAATTTTATCCTTTATTGTCCCAACTTTAAGCCCTTGATTATTTCTTTCAACGATAATTTAGATTAGGATCATCCTTCACGTTGAAGGTAATTTTGAAAGTTCATGAATAATAGATTATGTTCTCCTAGAAAATAAATTGAAGAGATGATGATGGTTTATGAGAAACTTATCGGAGAAACCATGGCAATGATTCTAAGAGAACAGGGAAAGAGAAATGAACGAAAAAGAAAATATCATTAAGATAAAATAAAGTGTTATGAAATCCCATTGTGATTTGAAGTTAATAAAGGGTTTTGAAATTCAAAAAATGACAAAAGTAAACATGAAAAGAGAGATGAAATTAGAAAAATAAGATCAGTTTTCAAAATGACAAAGTCAATGTGGCATGCCTATGAAGATTTTCATAAGTATCAAATTGATATGAAAAATGAGGTCAATTGTCAAAGTGATAAATTCAGGTGGCACACCTAAAGAGATCTTGCTGAACAATTAAATGATATTAATTCTTTATAACAATCAAATACCTTTTGAGTCTTTTGAGTCTTGAATATCCTTTCATTCATAAGCCAAAATTTTAGCCTACATTAAGTATTTTTACAAATCTTTTTTATTAAAGATGGTTTGTTTATGTCATTAAGCTTTAGCTTCAAACGAGAAGAAGAATGTTTTTGGTTAAAACTTGTCTTGTTTTTGCATTGTAAATTATCATTTATGACATCAAACCATGAGTTTGTCATCTTATAACTATAGGCAAAAAAGAAATGAAATCAAGATCTTTTTAAGTAAAATTACACATTTGAGCCTAATTGACATAGTGGAAACTCACTAAAATGAAGATAATTACCGTTGATCTAAAATTCGGATATCGATCAACTATAACTTGTTGAATTGCACACAAATACCAAGAAATAGTATTCAATTTGGTTGATTTAAAGAATGCTAGAGATTGGGATAAAACTAAGATGCTCTCTCATAAAACATTATTCAAGCAAACTAAAGGTTAATATCTTATAACATTCCAAGTTCAATGTTGTTATGGAAAATCGGATCAAAGAAAAGAGATTGAGCTTTTAAAGCGTGATTTATATTTCTTTAAGTAAAGAAACACTATTTCTAAAAATGTAATCTTATCATTAATATTACAAAATTAACGCAAGACATAGCCTTGTTTTCAACGGACCTCATTTTGTGAATAATGTTATTTTTTATATTAAAATTATGATTTCGAAAACATTTGTTTGATCAAAATCATTTTTTTCTTCGAAAGTAAATATAAACAAGGGGTTGTTACTCATAGGGATTTTTTTTTCTTGTATATATATATATATATTGCTCGTTTTTTGAAGAAAGAATTCATAAAAATTGGAGAAAGAGGAGGCTTTACGACCCTTCCTTATTAGACGAGAAAGAGGAGCACTTTCTAATGTGCATTCGATTATTAACTCATTCGATTATATTTTAATATTTGATAATTTTATTTTCATTCTATAATCAAACTAACATAAATTTTAAAGTGAAAATACTAATTTTTTTATTATTATTTAGAAAAAACTACCCAGGCACATATTCATTGAAATTAAAAAATAAAAGAAATAGAAAAGAAAGACATGGAACTCTTTTATATTAATATAATGTGAAAATATTATTTCAATTTCTAACAATAGTAAAATAAATCGGTGTAAAATTTTTTGATAGTTATTATTTCTATAAGTTTTTATCCTAACTATTAACTATGGAATATTAAAAAATAGTTCAAATTAGTTTTAAAAATCAAATAAAATAATTAAATTATAATTTATCAAACTTTATATAAAATTGTTATGTTTTAAAATTAAATATTTTAATATAATAACTATTCAAATTAATTCTTTTATAAGTAATTCAAAACAATCTATTGCATACTAGAAAATTTAATTAAAAACAAAACAAAATAAAACAAAAGGACCAGTTTAAATGAAATGAGGTAAAACCCCTTTAGCTCCCCAAAATTGACGGCAATTGCAATCTACAAAATCAAAGTTAAACTTAAAATCAATGCTAAATCTGATCTACAAAAATCTTTTTCATTAATTAATATAATTTTCTATTTCCCTTTACTCATCTTTTTTCCCAAAAAGCAGAGGAGGCCCGTCCAACTTGAGAAAGACTGACTGGAGGGCTTGCTTATCTGCAAGACATGACAAGATTGCTACTGAAGGAGAGTGACACACTCACGCACTTGCGAGAGTTCCGGCATGTTCTATACATTTTTGCTAATCAAATCTAAAATAAAACTAGATGCAACTCTGCGTCCTTAGGTAATTTATCTCTCTCTCCCTGGAACTTTCTTATTTTGTCTGGAAATTAAGCTTTGTATTTGTTTGTGAAAATTTTTGTGAAAACCCATTATCTGTATTGTTTCGATAAGGATATATCTCTCTTTGGATTCTTTTGCTTTTTATTTATGTCTTGTCCTTTATAGATGTCATCTGGGTCAACAATTCTTTTCTTTCTGTATTCGTAATTGTGTTTTGTTTACACTTTGAAGTACGCGAAAATCTTCATAGAACCAGTCATTTGTGCAATTTTGATCCAAACCCTTTCTTTCTTTTTAGTTAATCTCACAAGTTCTGAATATTTACGTACTTCTTATCCGTGCCAATTAAAGCTGGAGTGAATAATAAATTCAAGGGCTTGTCGTTGGAAAAAATCCAAGCTCTAACTAAGTTTCCTTCACTTTTTGGATGGGTATAAGAAACTTCCTACTCACATGTACCCTCTGCACTCTTTCAATTGTTAAGCTCTCGCCAAAAACAGATGAGACGGACTGTCCCATTTCACTTTTAGAGAAGGAGCTAAGCTTCATAGGACAAGGCGGACAATGATTTTGTAGTAGCATAGATCTTTGAGGGAATAGTGAGGAATTTTCTAGGAAATTTCCTAACTGGAGCACTTTAAATTTGATACAATCCTGAATCCATTGGTAAGACAAGAAGTTCAATTTCGGTGAAGTGCAGTAGCAGTTGGAATTGGTAGTGAGCCTTCTGAACTTATCTCCTAATTTTTTATGAGAATCCTTTTCTGTTTGCTAAGTGCTTTACTTTGTTTGAATCATTTAGAAAATAACGAAAGGTTCTTTAAATCATTTAGTTTGGTGTAATCATGATATCTAATCTGTTTTCCTTTTGTTCTTTACTTGTTGCAATGATTTATGATGCTATACGTGGTTGTACAATTGTATGCTGCTGGAGCTGCATTTTCTTGATATTGACTTCAGCGACCACGTATTTGTATGTGTATGTTTAGTAGTTGCGATAAAATACCATAATTGAGAACCCCATAATTTGGATGGAGAAAGTTTACTTTGAATTAAATAGATAGAAACAGTGTTGGGTAATTAGTTATTTATGCAAATTTTGTTTATGATTTGATGCTTTGAATGTGCTAGTTTTGGTCTGAGCTTCTTGTCCCTTTCTATTCTCTCTAGGTGTCATTATACATGTATCTCTTTCTGTCTCAGTGAGATACTACTCTTAAATATCATCTTTATTTATGCACAAAGAATGACATGGAATTTGACTGGTGTACTTACTGGCAATTATCTTATAACTAAATGTTAATCCCTTTATTGCCAAGAAAATGCTGAAGTAATCTGTAACTCTTCCCAACCAGGTAATGGTAACTATGTTTATAGTTACAGGCTACAATTTATATGCTAGTGAATTATTTGTTGTTGAGTTTGTTCTCTAAACAGTATCTTTAACAATTTGCAGATTTTCTGAGAGCGCAATACGCATTTGCTTTTGCTAAACTACCTAAATGGCTTCCAATGGTGCAAAACAGCCCTTGCTGTCTGGATTGGTGGATTCCACCTCTCAAAGAACTGACAAATGTCCTCCCAACAGAAGAAGGTTTCGCCGTGTTAAAAGTGCTCCTCTAGCAGAGTTTGTTCCTTCAGATATTAGTGGAAATGGACCAATTCCACGATATGAATCCTTTTTTGGGGGACTTCACCAGAGCCTGAAGAAAGTAGCTGTATTCTTGGCTATCTACTTAGGTCTTGGCACTACATGCTTTTATGCTGTCAGGGATGATATCAAAGGGAAGAAATCAAATCCAATTCTTGATTCTTTATATTTTTGTATGGTGACAATGACCACTGTAGGATATGGAGACCTGGTGCCTGATAGTGCCGCTGCGAAGTTACTTGCCTGTGTTTTTGTATTCACAGGAATGGCTCTTGTTGGATTGATACTGAGCAAAGCAGCAGACTATTTGGTAGAGAAGCAGGAAATATTACTGATAAAAGCTCTACACATGCATCAAAAACTTGGTCCAGCTGCATTTCTAAAGGAAATTGAAACCAACAAAGTCAAATACAAATGCTATTTGGCCGTAGTTATTCTTTCCGTGCTTATGCTGGTCGGAACCATTTTCCTATATATGATTGAGGATTTGGACGGCATTGATGCTTTCTACTGTATCTGTTCTACCATTACAACTCTAGGTTATGGAGACAAGAGCTTCTCAACTGGATATGGCCGCATGTTTGCTGTATTTTGGATACCGATGGGTACTATTGGTTTAGGCCAGTTATTGCTTTACATTGCTGAGCTATTCACTGAAAGCAGACAGAAGGCACTGGTGAACTGGGTTCTTACCAGAAGGATGACCAATTTAGATTTGGAGGCAGCAGACATGGATGACGATGGTGTTGTTGGGTAAGTTATAAGTTAAATCGTGCTATAATGTTCCTTTTGGATTTTTGTAAGTTGTTTCCCCATCTGTTTTGTCTTTTCTTTTTGGTCAAATTCTTGGATGTAGTTTATTGTCTCAATTAATAAGTTGTTAGCTATGCATGTTGCTGACTAACTCCTTCGTTCCTTTGTGTAGGGCTGCTGAGTTCATCATATATAAGCTTAAAGAAATGGGCAAGATCAGCCAAGAAGATATTGCGCTAGTAATGAAGGAGTTTGAGGATCTTGATGTTGATCAATCTGGAACCTTGTCAGCTTCTGATATCGTGCTTGCACAGACAGCTCCGATAAACAAGTGACTGCACCATCAGCGAGTAGTCATTGACTTGTACAATTGCGTAATACTGATAGCATGCCAGAGAGGGTTTCTTGTATGAAGTTTACCTTAGTTTGTTGATTAAGTTTCTACTTCCATTTTCTAAAAAGGTCATTGCGTGCAATTTCACTACACCAGATGAAGTTTCATTCACCATGAGATTATAAAATAAACAACAAAATGACCATACGATTGTGGTTAGTTTGTTTCAATCACAAATTAAGATATAAGTGATAACATCTATACTAAAATTATGCTAAAAATTGATTTTATTATGTAAGACTGATAATTGAAGAGATAAATTTTATTGATTGTTGTCTGAATGATTTAATGATCTTTTACAAACAATTAATTACACATTTTATAGCAGTTGTCATATTTTTTGTATACCCTATACATTATCATTTTACACAAATAACAACAACAACAACAATAATAATAAAAGTGCATGCTGTATAGTTTTCAAAACTTTGCATGATTTTTAGGTATTTCATTTTATGATTTAAACACTTGGATTCAACGGGAATGAGAAGGGTATTTTTGGTCTTAAAAAGAGAGGTTTTCCTTTGCATTTACATGATATGTTTCGGCAATTGATAAATTAGAAAGATTTTAAATGAATTTGCCCTTTTACACTTTTTTGATTTGGATGATATAAAATGCAAAATAATTCTTTTAAGTAAACATTTTTTTATTTTGAATCAATAATAAAAAACATACAAAGAGTAGAATTTTTTTTTAAAAAAAAAAAAAAATATGAGTCTACCCATGAAAATCATAACATTTTTAAAATAGAGTTTGAAAATTCAATAAAAGATGAAGACCTTATTCTTAAAATCAAGGCATATAATTCTTCCATAAGCTCAATACACTCTTATGTTCGCTAGTGTCTTCTCTAGTGCTTTTTATTTCTCAATTCCTTCTTTGTCCTAATCATCATCATCTAGTTCCTCAGATGCAACCCTGATGTTGCTCACACCAGTAGTCATCAAGCCTGTCACTAGAAGCGTATTGATGTAATATGTTTCATCTTCCTTTCTGAGTGATTACCATTCACTCTTAATCAATATGTGGATTCAAGTCTCAACACTAAGCAACTTTCAATGATGTGCTCAATGATATTTGTATGGAATTTTCATTTTTCATTTCTATTGCACCGCTTACGAAAAGTTGATTCGCTTGGCTTGATCATAATCAGTGTCATATGCAAGATTTCAATGGCCAGTAATGGATATCATCAACAACAACTAACAATGGAGGAATGCATCTTTGTCGGCCTCAAATAGATCATTTAAATCAGCTTGGCACACTAAAGGCATTCATGGATTTTGTCGAATAAGAGAGACATCTTAACTACTCATGAAGCTTCTTCTTGGGAAAAAAAAAAAAGTGATGTTATGCTCAACTTAGTACCATGCTAATGGACTCTGACCTTGCTAGGAGCGCTTGCGACGACGTCATCTCACAATTCAAAGGACTTGGCAATTACATCTCCAATCCTCTCCAAGTACACACTATATTCTATCTTTCTGACCATTTTAAAGGGTCATCCAAACAAGATGAGAGACAACCTATCAAGTACTCATATTATCAAATATGCTTCGACTCAATCAAATGATGACATACTCGAGCTACCATTGCTCACCGTCTCTTGGCATATTATTGTACTAACTCACCAACATCTTTTCTCATGCCTCAAAGGTATGCCCTTATTTAGAGTTGTCTTAGCATTGGCACTATATTCTTTTATCAAAACATTGATCGAGTTAAAACTATCTTCTTTTAGAATCAATTGCCAAGGAATCGAGTCATATATACATTTCCTCTGACCATTATCATGTCTTTATTGAAACTACAAAACCCGATTCAACCTATTCATCTCTACTATTTTTCTATTCAGACTTCTTCTTTAACATAGGGAAAAATTCTAGCAAAAATCTTTACTTGTATGAGAGAATAGGAGGAGAATGTCAGCATGAAAGGAATAGGAGTTGAAGATTTCTAATAAAATGCAATAAGACTTGGCTAGATTGGGAAACAATAAAAACCCTCTTGGATGGGTGAATGCCATTAGAAGAGAGAAAAAGAGGTTGGAGGTAAGTCAGAAAAAGGAAAGAATTGAGTTGCATCTTAAAGCAAACTGTTCAACTTCATTCTCGAGAATCAGACTCTTTTTGATGTTCAAATGAAGAGCTTTCTTAAGCAAACCATGTAGGTATATGATACCTGAATTCACATAGAATTCTTTTTTGGTTGAAAGTTCTACTTATTCTGGATTCTACTTTGATTTTGTGTAGTTATCTGAGTTTTGATTTAGTAGACTATTTGAGAGGATTGAGTTTTTTTAGTTGTAATCTATATATCTTATTTATGTAGCAAAAGTTTAGGCAAGTAATACAGATATAATATCCTCGATGTAAACCCTTCTTTTTATATATATACACACCCACACACGTACGTACATATACATACGTACGTACATATACATATGTATACATATGTATGTATGTATGTATATACATACGGATATATAAGTATTTATGTATGTACATACGTATATATACGTATACATACATATGAATAATTTAATTATTTAATATATAAATAGTGGTCTTATTGTCACGGGCGACATGTGCCCTTCTAATGAACTAAACAACAATGATCGAAATAAATTTATCGCTAGAAAAATCGTACATAAACATTGGATTAAGTTAAAAAACCCTATCCGAAAGGAAAGATTCTCGCTAGACAACCTACCTAAAATGATGGACTAGGCAACAATGCTCGAAATGAATGAATTAAATTAGAAAGAAATGCATAAAATGATGAATTATCTCTTGGCAACATTGCCTAAAATGATGAACTAGGTAGCAATATCTAAAACAAATGAATTAAATTAGGCAACAATACCTAATGATGATCGCTAGGCAATTCTATCTAAAATGATGATTTGGGAAACATGAGCCCCTTATGATTCTGTGATTTTTGAATTTTACAACTTGAATGATGGCTTCATCTTTACATTTGAGATGACATTTTTTGAATTATATTAATGAAACTAATTGTAAATGTTAGTTTCTTACCTACGAAAAATATAGGTTGCCTTTTTTATACACTCAACCCCTTCCACTAGTGTCTTTTCCTTTACCATTTGATTTCTTCATTCTCATAGAGAATTGATATGTGGCATTGATGCAATCTTATTGCCTCTAGTCAAGATAGTGATTCAATCCTTGACTATCTATTTTTTTTCTTCCAAGCCTAGATTTTTACTTTTATGTACTATACGAGTCTATCGGGATGAATGAATTTTTATTATCTAAAATTTAAAGAAGATAACTATTCATATATTATGATCTATCTCCAAACCGACTATCTTGAGTTCGACCTTAGTTTGTATGCCCTTTTTCTTTATATGCCTTTCAAATAGCCAAAAATTTCACAATGCATTTTTAAAATGCAAAAGTCCTCTACTTTAGGTGAATCATATTTTTGAAGAAAAATTTACAAGATCTTAATTTGAAAGCTTTAAGGGTTAAATGATCAATTCTCTCTATCATAAACCAAAACATATTATTCAATCATTGGAGTGCAATCTATCATTGTAGTAATATATGGATTTCTTTTGTAAGTGATCTAGAAAAATATTCTTTTTTTTAGATTGCCTCTTGTGTTTGCATGATATGTTTTGGGTCTTAGTAGAAAATGATTACTCATTTTAAATAACTTATCATTTTATTTGCCTATTATTGACTAAATAGAATGCCAAGCATTGCTTCTAAAGTGATATCATGTTAATTCTAAGTAAAAAAATTCACCTCAATTAGTTTAGAAAAATTTTATCTTTTTTATTTTTTTACTAAAGCATGTGAAAACTAGGTTTTCTCCCAAAAGGCATCGAACTTGAAACTAGCTTCTATCGAGACGTAACCAACTCCGTCATAACCTAAATGAAGGACTATAATGATATCTTATATGTTTTACATGCTAATTTATGGATAATATTAACTAAGATTATATAGTATATAGGTAGGTATAAGTTATATGGATCAAGAGTTTAGAGTAAGAAAAGTGTTTGGATGAAAGATGTAATGCACATTTTTGGCTTCGAATTTTATCTTTTATTATGAAATGAGGGGAGCAAGATATTTTAAGCATAGTACTTTTTACTAAATCATAATTTATAGGCTTTGCTAAACTATCCTTATCTATATTTATCAAAATGAGCGCTCCTCTTAAAAAAGGCTTTTTCACCATATAAGGACCTTCATAATTAGGTGTCCATTTGTTTGATCTTCTTTCGACATTGGAAAGACCTTCTTGAGTACTAGATCTCACTCTTAGAATTTTTTTAGTTGCACCTTTTTATCATAAGCTCTAGCCATCATTTTCTAATATAACTATAAATGAAAAATTACAATCAACCTCTTCTCACTAATCATGTTCAATTGCTCATATCGGATCTTAGCCTATTTAGCCTCTTTCAACTTGATTTCCATGAACACTCTCAATGATGAAATTTCAACCTCCAAAGGCATTACCGCCTCCATTCTATAAACCAAAGAATATGGGTTCATCCCTATGGACGTTCTTATTCCTCTGTGATAGACGTGAAGAGCATATGAGAGCATCTCATGCTCGTATTTATAATCGATCATTAACTTTTACAAAATCTTCTTGAAGTTCTTATCTAAGGCCTTGACTATCGTGTTCATTTTAGGCCTATAAGGTGAAGAGTTTAGATATTTGATCTTTCATAGTTTTTATAGATCTATTATCATCTTTTTATTAAAATTTTGAGCATTATCAATGATTAGAGTTTTTAGCAGACCAAACTAGCAAATTAAATTCTTCATTATCAATCGTTGGACCAATTTCTAAGTGACAAGAGCATAAGAAACGAGCTTTTACCCACTTGTTAAAGTAATCTATTACAACCAAAATAAAGCAATACCTATTATTGACCTTTGGATTGTTAGGCCC